CTGGTTTTCTATTTGAATTACTGTAAGTTCTTTTAGCCAGACATTGACATTTTTGGTTTCTACAGAAACGTCAGAATCTTGTTTATAAGCTGGTAAAAACCATTTCAATGAACACCCAAGACAGTTAAAATTACAAGCAGTTGAAGACAAAACTATGAAAGTGAAAATAAAATTGGTTTAATAAATTTTGCAACACAGAGATGTCAAAATAATATTTGTATCAAATAGGAGGCATAATATGTTCTTTTTGTTTTTGATATCATTGAATTATCACTACTTTTACAGGGTTCTGTATGTTGTATTCATGATTAAATGCAGGTAAATAAACAATTAAGGTAACAGATCTTTGTAATACTTGGTTTATTTACATATTAACTTTAATTGCTGGATGTTCGGCCCCTCAGCTGTTGACCTGCAGTAACTGTGGCCCCCCGGAGTAGTTTATTTGAATAGACCTGGTTAACAGGTTGAGATTAACTGTGTGGATGCTGAGTCAGCATTCACACATTGTTTTATAGTCTCTTCCAGACATTTTTGCAATCAAACTACTTTTTCATATAATATTTTACCATTCATATATCAAAACTATCAGGAATAAAGTGCTTTGGCTTCTAGTATTTGGAGTTGCAATACTTTTTGAACTGTTTCACTTTACTGACAAAAGTATTTTTCTATATAAAACAATCTCTTCTATTTCAAACCATTGGCTTCATCTATTTTTGTTTTCCTATTTTCCATTTTTAGCTACAGTTTTGCTGATTTTAGTTTTAAGTTACAGTTTTGCTACATTTAGGTTTGCTGCTACCATTTTGCTAATTTTAGCTTTATGCTACAGTTTTACTACATAAAGCTACTAATTTTGGATTTTACTTACAGTTTTTCTCATTTTATCTTATAGCCACACTGTTGCTAATTTTAACATTTAGTTAYTTTTSTTACCTGAATTTCCCCTCTGCKGGACAATAAAAGCTATTTCTATTCTACTGTATTCTATTCTGATTTTATATTTTAGCTGCTCTTTTACTGATATTAGCTTCTGTTTTTTTTGTTATATTTGGACTTTTCATTTCTTTTTCAACAAATTTCAGCAAAATTATTTCAGCATTCACACTAAAAAACAACAAAAAAATTAAGTTCTCTAGTTTCAGTTTAGTTTAGTTTTTCATTTGAAGCTAATAGTAGTATTTTTTCTGAACCTAAAACAGTAATTTGTGGTTAATATTAGACATTTCTGGATACAGCGTTCAGGATTCTGAGCTACATGTTGCTGATAATCAATGTAATCATTTCTTACTTTAATTCTCCACAAATTGCATTTTAATGCAGACTCTGAGCTATCATTTTTCTTGTGTTTCTCTCAAGTCTTTAACTTAATATTTCACCAGCGTTTTTTGATTCGTGCAAAACTCCCTGCAGGTGTTGACTTTAACGTCTTGAACTCAAAGTTCTCATTTGACCTGCTTCCTGGTAAAAAGGCAGCCAGGAGGAACAACAGCCAGCGCAAGGTGTGTGTGTAAATTTAATAACCATATTTTTTGGTCTTGTTGTTGGGGCTGGGATTTCTCTAGAACAGGGGGTCTCCAACCAGTAGCACCTGAGCTCATTTAAAGTAGCTCTTCAGTGCTTGTAAAAACTAGGCGAAGCAAAATTTTATTTGTCACCGACCAAACAAACTTTAATTTAATTCCAATCAATCTATAGTTGTACCGTCCCCTTGGTTGTCAGTCCAACAGTTTAGGGCTCAGTATGGTCGATCGGCAGACAACTTGCAATACGTGGTTGTTCGGCATTCATCTTCGCACACACTTTTCATAGCCCCTCGAGACAAACTGTGTCAAACAACTGAGAAACCTCTCCCACTGTGCTATATGTCACTACAGGTTTCTTCCTGCTGGAGTGTACAATGCGGGAAAAAAAATCGGAGACCTGCCCAATGTTATTTGTGCACAAATCTGTTGCGGTTAAACCCTTATTAGTTATTAGTGTGAAATACTATTAACTAATATAAATGGATAAACACAAAAAGCACATTCATGTAAATTCAGTGTATTTTACGATAGTTTCATGTGAACTGAAGACAATGTTTTTTTTGCAAAAAAAGCTTATTCCAATGGTTTAAGATTAAATTTAAATGTTTCAAAAAGTAGCTCTCAGCCAATTCATTTTGTGAAAGTAGCTCTTAAGGAGATAAAGGTTGGAGACCCCTGCTCTAGAAATAACCCAAGAAATTATGGGGTGCCGTTTGTAAAATTGCACAGTCAAAAATTACCACCAATATTTTAGTTTTATTTAGTCTTTTATAGGAACAAAAATAAC